ATATGACTTGTGGACAAGTCACTTAAACTGCGCTTGCCTCAGTTTCCTCAACTGTAAAATGCAGATAATAATAGCACTTACCTTGCAGGGTTGTTGTGAGGTTTGAATGAAATAATATCTGTAAAAAGAGTTTAGCACATTACCTGGTACATAGTAGGCTCTATTTAAATGCTTATTCCCTTCCCCTTTAGAAGGATGGCCATTGAATCCTTCCCTAGAGGAATATATGGGTTAAGAGTGGGACCAGTTAACCAAGAGTTGCTTGTAAGAAGGGAAGGAGAAATGGCAGCTCTACTTCTCAATAGCCTTTCCTAAAATAAATGAGGTCGCATCAGTATGAGCGCCGGACAGTTGCCAAAGTGCCTCATCGACATTTTATGTGATCCGCATCCTGTGGGGTAGGCAGAGTGAGTGTTTTTATCCCCATTTTATAGATGAAGAAACTGAGAGTCAAAGAGGTTATGGGACTTAACCAAAGTCACATAGGGAATAATTGGCAGGGCTGGGATTAGAACCTGCGTCCTCTAATACCCATAATACCACAGTGTCTCTGAAAGACCATCCCTCTAACTAAACCATTCTAACTCCATTATTTCTTCAGGTGTTCCTTGTACATTGCCTGACTTTTTGTGACCCCATTTGGGGTTTTCTTGATAAAGATACTGAAGCAGTTTGCCATTTCCTCCTCCAGCTCATTTGACACATGAGGAAACTGAGGCAAATGGGATTAAGTGACTTGCCCAGGGTCACACAGTTAGTGTCTGAAGATGGATTTGAACTCTGGAAGATGAGTCTTCCTGACTCCAGGCCCAGCACTCTATCTACCACGCCACCTAGCTGCCCCTTGGTGCATTGCCTAGGCAATCTCTCCAGTGTCTGAAGTGCCTTGTTTCCTCATCTACTCTTCAAAGGACAGCTCAGGTGCTTCTTTCTACCAAAGACCTCTCTGATCCATCCTAATCGCCACTGCTCTTAGCTCCTGGCATCCATTATCTGTGTCTATATTTACACATCTGTGCAGGTATATAGCATATACGTATTGTGTGTTTATCTCTGTATATATTGCATCTTCCCAAAACAATATAACTTCCTTTGGGAGGAAGGAACTTTCTTTTTTTTTTGTCCTTGTATCTTCAGTGCCTAAGCATAGTAGGTTTGATAGACCTTGTGTTTATTTTGTAAATATTGTATACATAATTCTATTTGTCTCCCCCTCTAGAATGCGAGCTCCTTGAAGGCAGGGTCCAGCACCTGGCACAGTGCTGGGCACATGGTAGGTGCTTACTAGACAGTTGCTGACCGATTGTTGGACTGAATACACAAGCCACCTATTTCTCTTCTTCTCATGCTACTGAATCAGAGGCTAGAGCCTGGGCAGAGTGGCTCTGAAAGCAGGGGACCCGGGTTCAAATCATGCCTCTGGAGTCTTCCTGAGAATACAGTGCCACATTGCACAAGTGAAAATGAGAATCGGCCTTCTGCTCATCATCTATCAGAGCACACACTCTGTCCCAGGGACATACACACTTATACACATTGGAAGGCAGTACTAAACCAATAAAGAAATCACCCTGACCTCTGAGCTCCCCATCAGTCACCAAATGATCCAAAGCACAGTTGTTGAAATAAAGGGACTAGGGACCCAAGAAAAGAGAACAGTATAGAGTTGAATTGGTTCACCAAGGTGTCAAGATGGGAAAAGAGGAGAGACTGGGTAGTACAGGGGAGATAGCCTGGAAGACAATTGAGGGGTCAAGGGATGGAGGTCATGGTTGGATGAAGAGTAGGGTTTGGTAAGGGAAGGCCAGGGGAGAGGTGGAAGGCCAATAGATTATGGTCAAATAAGGTGATCTCAGGATTCTTAACCACGGAGGTGGTACATCTGTGGGGAATGACATATCAAGGATATGACCGTCTTTGTGTGTGGCTGAGATGGGTGGAGGAGTAGTTCATAGGAAGTGAGTAGGTAAGGAACTGGGTGGTTAGTCAACATGGATGTTGAAGTTCCCCCATATGAGGGCTGGGGTTGAAGAGCAAAGAATTGTAAGCCAGGTATGAAACTCACCGAGGAAGGAAAGGGTGTGACCTGGAAGTCTGCAGACAACAGCTCCCAGGATTTTGATTGGGTGGTAGATGTGAATAGCATGGACCTCAGAAGGAGGAGAGGTTACTGAGTGATGGAGGTAGGGAGAGAATTTGGAAATGGTAATCCAACTCCCCCACCTCAACCAGTGAGCTCAGGGGAATGAGTGAAGATGCAGATGGCACTGCAAAGGGTGCTCAAGGAATCTGTGTCATCAGAGGAGAGCCAGGTTTCAGTAAGAGCTGGAACATGGAAGGAGTCAGAGATGAAAAGGTTTAGGGTGACGGGACTATTGTTGCCTATGGAACAGGCATTCCAGAGGGCACAGTGGAAGGGCTGGGTGGCATTCGGTTGGAACTCTGGGTGGAGGGTTGAGAGAGATGAGAATAAGGAAAGGGGTGGTGAGGAAGGGGAATGAGGTCTGAATGCTAGTCTGTAGGGAATCAGACTCACTGGGACATGTTCATCGATGAGTGGAAGGCTCCACTCATCTTCACTAAGAAGGCTGGAGAATAAGCTGGAGACAATATAACATGAGACGAAAAGCGCAGGGTCAGATGGTCAGACTGAGGGCTTGCTTCACTATTCCTCCTCCCTCCTGGAAAGCTGGAGAGTAAGCAGGTAGTGATGTAGCGGCAGATAGAAGCTAAACTTGAGGAGCGGAAGTCCCACTCCTCATCGACTTTTCTTCTTTCCCCCAAGGGACAGGCAGAGCAGGAAATGGACGACCTGGGGTCAAAGAGCAGGCTGCCCCTCTTTGCAATGGTTGATGTCCACATCTCAGGTGGGAGATCAGGTTGGCAGCGAGAGGTGGGAGTTGCCTTGTGCTGGGACCGATGAAGTCAACCTGGCCAGGCCCCCTGCAGCCTTCCCCCAGGGAACCCTTGTAGCAGGAGAAGGAAGATACAGTTAGAGGATGGCCTAACTCCTCTTCACTATCTTCATTATAACACACCGGGCGGCCTCTGCTTGAAGGCCTCTCCTAGAGTGGAACTCGCCACCTCTCAAGGTAGCGTAATCCACTTTGCGATAGCTTTGGCATCAAGCCTAATCTGGTCTCTTTGTAACTTCCCTTCACCTGCTCTCTTCCTTGTTGTGCCCTCAAGGGCCAAGCAGAAAAGGACTAATCCCTTTCTCATAGGATGGTCCTTCAGATCCTTGAAGATAGCTCTCCTATACCCCCGAGTCTTCCCTTCTCCGGGCTTAACCTGCCCAGATGATCTCGTCCGAATCTCCTTCATTGTACAGACAGCCCTCGTTACCAGCTCATGGTGCCTCTGGGTACAAAGCCCAGCGGCCTTCCTATGGCTTTTGGTATGTACAGAACAGCTTCTGGCTACAGGACTCCAGTGGCCGACAGAGGGGCAAAGGAACTTGACCCTGTTTCCACTGAGTGGGACAAGCAATTTGGAACTCCCTTGCTTTTTCCTCTCCTTTGCCTTAAGCAGAGTGCCATGATCCCTCTGGCAAGAAGCCAGGGCTGAAAGGCACTTGGCTACTGGGGTGGGAATGGAGGCCACCGATGGGGGCTCCACAGTCTTAGCACATTGCTATACACATAAGTGGCAGCTTGGTGCCAGTGGGGTTGATGAATGGCATTTAATTATTTTCAAAGGGGAATCAGCGTGCTAATTACAGCTGCCAGCCTGCACTAATGAAGCGCTGATGCCAACTGGCAGAAGCTCTTGGGGGAACTCCATTTGTCTTGTTTTCCTACTGCCCCACCTTTTTCTCAAAGATCCTAATAATGCACTGACATGGGAACCTGCAGATGGACAGGTGGGTCAGGAACTTCCCTGGCAGCTAAGGTGAGCAAGAAGAGACTTTTCAGGCACAAAAGGCAACTCAAGAAGGATGCTCAGAGAGAGGAACCAGACCACATGTATTTGCATAATTCTCCCCATTTTCCTTTTCAGCTATTTTACTGAGGACATTTAGGCATAGTAGATACAGAGCTGGCCTTGTAGTTGGAAAGACTCGGGTACAAATCCTGCATCCCACAATTCCTAGGAGTGTGACCCCAAGCCAGGCACTTCACCTATATGGGCCTCACTTTCCTCATCTGTAAAATAAGAGGTTCACCAGGCATGACCAGGGATACAAAGACAAAAGCAAGAAAGGCCCTACCCTCAAAGAAATTAGAGTCTACAGCATAATCTTCCTCATATGGGGCAGGTAGGTGGCACAGTGGATAGATTAATCTTCCTCAAAACTAGAGAAAGAGCATCAAAATGATTATTAATAGAATTCCCCAATTCAGAGCTGGAAGGAACCTCAAATGTAGTCTAACTTTTTTTTTGAAGCAATCAGGGTTAAGTAACTCGCCCAGGGTCACACAAGTAGTAAATGTCTGAGACGGGATTTGAACTTTGGTCCTCCTGACTCCACAGCTGGTGCTTTATCTACTGAGCCACCTACCTGCTCCCTACCTTTTTTTTTTTTTTAACAAAGGTAACCAGGCTTAGGAAGGTTAAGGAACTTGCCCCCATTCACACCGGGTAGGAAGAGACAGAGCCAGGTTGACTGAGCCAAATCCAGTTCTCCAGTTCCCCAAGGGGGAAACAAGTCCCTCGGTAAATGTGGCCATCCGACTAGCTCAAGCTTTCATGACCAAACCCATTCCTTTCCATTGGCCAGAATGGAATGAAAGAGGCCTCGATCTCTCAAGGGCTCCATCCCGTGTTTCCTCAGTTCGCCGGACAATCTGTGCTTCCCTGGGAAATAGTCCTTACCCACGCAGCCCAGGGTGGCAAAGGAAAACTCAGAGACAGTTTGTTCCTTAGTCTCGAAATGGGGGCAAAAGGAAGAAGGACCTCGAAGGAAAAACCAAGAACACGAAGGCAGGACGGCTGCGGTGCCAACACACCTGCTGTGCTCGAGACAAGGCAACAATGAAACAACGTTGGCAAGGAACGGGCGCAGGAACACAAAATGGTGTTTATTGACTCTACTTGGGGAACATAACAAACAGACAACTTGAAAGACTTTTGGCTCATGGGCCTGGACTTTATAGTTGAGTTGGCTTCTGTCAACAATTAGAAAAGTCTAGCAAATACAGTGGGAGTGGTCCCTCATTCCATAATGGAGGAAATAACAGCCATACCACTAAGGATATCATTCCTGTTACAAGGGTGAAGGCTAACCTATCTATACACCATGAACAAATCTTTAACATACACAGAATGACACGTATAATTTTATATAATACAGTAGAGCAATATATTATATATAATTATATACACGTATAGATTGAGGGCAAAGTCCTCCAACTAGCTCATACCCATGAACAAACAGGATTTGGTGAATCGTTTCCTTAGGAACACTTCTCTTCTTAACCTAATGGTTTATGTATTTAACTGATGGCTTTTTTTTTTTTAAACATCAGTGCTTTGTTTGTGTGTATTTTAACAGACCCTTTGCCTTGATAATTAAAAAGTACATGTTAGCACAATTCCAGGATGAATGCATATGATTTATGTTCAATGTGTAAATAACGCTAAGGGTAGCAGCCGTCAGTTAAATGTACCACTATGTTGAAAAAAACGTGTTAGCAGGGGCACAACTTATTACTTTTCTGATTGCAAGTGGGTGCTGCTCAGTTCACAGAGCCTAATCAAGTCGCAGACAAAGATTTTGTTTGGGGGGAAAAAAAAACCTTTCCTGTGAGTTCTCAAAGATTTCATTTAGAAAACTTATCTTTCATTACTAAGAGGGGCAGAAGGAAAAAAAAAACAGACTTGACGTGAAGGGACTGAGCTCTGGATGACCCGAGGTCTCTTCACAGTCTAAGAGTCACTAAGACACCATTTTAAATTGAGCAATTTTTAACAAACAGTTTCCAAAGTTACACGACAGAGAAAGCGTATAAATTATCACATTTCCTAGAGGCTATCAGCAAATGACAGAGGTGATGCACAAGGCCTCGGGCTCAGGAGATCCTTCCTCCCTTGCCGGTGGCTCTAACCACCTCCCCCTGGCTTGACATCCACATGGAGTCAGGTTTGCCCGTGTCACTATTATTTAAAAAAAAAAATGTTTTCCACAGACTAACAAAAGCCAAGGAAGTCGTCATCTGAAGGGACTTTGGACAGTGAAACACATTTAGAGAAAGGGGAGAGGGCTGGCTGGAGTTTGCAGGTAATAGAGTCGCCCTACAACGTTGGATTTAATAATGGAAATATCACAAGACTAATAACTCACATCCACACAATGCTCCTCTCCTGAATGGTGTGCCAGTCTAACAAGTTCGGGGGGTCCACTGGAAGCGGACACATTTCCGGACCCACAGAGAATGGGTTTCTCCCTTCTCTGTCTCCTGTCACCTCCCCAGGGTGAAATCTTAACCCACAAGGCAAGGTAGCTTCCCCCAATGCCTCCTGCCCTAACCTTTCATCATTGTGGGGAAATTCTCAGGGTAGAAATGTCTTTAGATGCAGATTGGCAACTGACCTTGGACAACTGCCAATGAAAGGTTCAAGTGATCTGCCCATCATCACAAGGTTAGGATGTATCCAAAGTGGGACTTCCTGACTCTAGGGACGGCTTTCCATTCACAAGACCTGAGGGGCTAGCAGGAAGTGGTGTGGGGATTCTGCCTCATAAGCTACTAACACAGTACACAGAGGCTTGCTTTAGTTTCAAGAGCCGTGGCCTTTGTAGTTCTGAGTGGCCCACCAGCTGTCACCACACAGACTTCCTTGCTCCTAAAATACTCCTGGCAGCCACTAGCTGTGGGGAAGGTGAGGAGGAGAGGTGTATTCCAGTTTGAAGACATTAGATGAAAAGTGCAAGATCCTACGTGCAAACCTTTGCAAACAGACAAAAAACAAACACCCCTTTTTTTTAATGAACTATACACAAGTTTAAAAATTCAAGTCAATTCCAGGAATAGTCTAACAGTTGTCAGGCAGTCATTTTCACTCAAAATTGGGAATAAAAGGTCAGTGTCTGAATTAAGAAGGTAAAGACCTTGGGTGTCTCTCTCACACAAACACACACACACATATGCATGCACACACTCAAGTACACAGACAGACAGACACACACACACACACACAGGCATGTTCTTTGCATTTGACAAGGGTCCCCAAGGAGGAATTGTCTGGGTCCAACAGAGAGGTCTCAGTCACAGCACCCTTCTTTACTGGATTGAAATGCTACCCACATAAACTCCATCCTGTCCCACTTTTGGGGATAACGCTTCCTTTACATATGAAACACACAAACCAAGATGCTCTGAATTCAAAGCATTCCTAAGATGCCATCATTCATTTGGAATCTGAGGAATTAAGAGGTTTCTCATCTTTCACTTTCCCAACATGGAAGGAGGTAAGTTAACTCTGTCTTCCTCCTCCTCTACGTTCCCCATAATCCTTTGCCTGAAAAGCAACAAGAAAGATCAGTACAGTCAACCGAGTGACCAAGGTCCAGTCAACCACCCCCCGCTAGAAAAATGCCACACATATTGAGGAATACCCCTGGCAGCACAAGGGAATTCGCTGTTGAAGGGACCTGCCTTAGGGATCGTTAGAAGAGGCTGCCTGGGCCACAGCGTTAGAATCCAGAGACTCAGGACAGGGGGTGCTACTGAACTGGGTCTTTGAGATGTCAGGCAATGTCTGGTCCAAACAGGGAGGATGAGGTTCAGAGGGGGATGCAGAGGCAGTATCACCAAAGGTCCTGACGTTTGGACATGACTTTGAGGACAGAATTAAACCCGGCTTGTCCCCATACAGTGAAATAAAGAAGTGTTCCTCAGGTGCAAGGACAAACTTTCTGACTTTCTGGGGTAATCTCTGGCCACAGAGAAATTCTTGCCTGGGGTTCTCCTTCTCCTGGGGTTGCCTGCCTTACCGAGGGGAGTGTCTCAGCTGAGAGATGTACAGCTGAGCTCCCCACGCTCCTGAACGTCTGCCATCCCCTCCTCTAATTCCTCGGGGCCGTCTACAATGTTGGGCTCGCTAGAGCACTGCCGGTGGGGAGGGAAGCTAGGCGGGAGGAGCAGGCATTTGTCGCTGCCGTCGGACTCTTCCCCCATGCCAGAGTGCATCCTGGTGGCCATGGCAAGCAGCTGGATGTCCGAGTGGGCGTTGGCCACGGTATGGCGGCGGATGCTGCCGCACTTTTCTAGGTACGCCTCCCCCTCCTGTTCCGTCAGCGGGGTCAAGGCCATCTCGTGGAGAGGTCGGGGGGTCACTGCTCCCTGCGAGTAGTTCAGGACCGTCACCTTGGGGCGGGCTCGAGAATGCCGTCGCGCTGGAGGAGAAAAAGAAGAGGTGTCATTGCAGGAGGCAGGGATCCCTGCCTTACTGGCTCCTTTGGTAGAATGCAAGCTTCTTGAGGGCAGGGCTGTACTCTCTGGGTCTCTTTATCTTCGGGGTCTAGTATAATGCCTGGCACACAGCAGGTGCTTAATAAATGCTTGGTGAATGAATTCTGAATTAAAGAACCTCCTATATGAGAGGACATGGAATTCAGGAATGAACCTGAGCATCCAATGATCATGGTTTCTCTTACAACTCTATGATACAGTTACTGTCCGTCATCTCTCTTCTGGTAACATGGTACAGTGGAAAAAGTGATAATTATGACAGTAGTAAGAACAGCCAACATTTATATAACACCCACTACATGCCAGGTGCTTTATAAATATCATCTCATTTGATCCTTACGACAACCCTGGAAGGGAGGTACTATTATTCCCATTTTATATATGAGGACACTGAGGCAAACAGATTAAGTGACTAGCCCAGAGTCACAAAACTAGTTAGAATCTGAGGCTAGATTTGAACTCAGGTCTTGACTTTCAGGCCCACTGATCTACCCACTGTGCCATCTACTTGCCCAGGAAAAAGAGAGTACCAGTGTTGGAACTGAGATCTGAGTTCAAATCTTGTCTCAGTCCATTCTGTTACTATCTTTGTGACCTCGGGCAAGTCACTTCCCCTCTTTAAGGCCTTAGTTTCTTCATCTATAAAATGAGAGGGTTGGACAAGGTGATCTCAAAGCAGGAGACCTTCTGGGTCTAAATCTATGTTATTGTGGTTACTGGCTGCCCTCACGTGGAATGCTCAGCCATCTGCCTTCACACATTTAGACTCTGCTGTCAAAGGAGGCACGGTGGTATAAGCAAATGGCCTGGGAATGAATCAGGGGACCTGGCTTCAAATCCTGCCTCTGCCACTACTTACTGGCTGTGTGTGTCTGTAAAATGAGGGGGGTGGACGCGAAGGCTTGAAGTCTACGCTGCCTGCCACACAGGCAGTCTAAGGTTCCATCACTTGGCCGGCCAGCCTATCACACTACTGACTCATGCTAAGTCTGCAATTTCAAAAAACAAAAAACACCCCAGATCTTCCTCAGACAAACTGCTGTCTGACCACATCTCTGCAGCTTGTACTTGAAGTTGTTTTTTTCTAAACCTAAATTTGCATTTAGCATCATTAAATTTCACCTTGAGCTCAGCCCAGCTTTTTAGCCTGTCAAGAACTTTGTGCATCCTCTCTCTGGCATGGAAGGCGTTAGCAGGCCGGGCCTGAGCAGCCCTCTTGTTCCACCTTTCTTCTCTCTCAGCCTCCAGAAAGAACAAGGGCCATAGCGAATGTAGCCCAAGTTTTCATCTCTCTCCTGGATCAGAGACCCTCCCGACTCTTTCATTCAACGTTGGCTACCTCTGATCCATTTACGGGCACTTAATGTGGCAGGGGCGGGAAGGGGGTACATGCTCCTGCTTAGAGGGGATGATCTGTTCTGGTTCCCATCACTGGGTGTGAGAGAATCAGGACACATCTCAAGCCATGGAATCACAGACTGAGGGCTGGAAGGGCCCTTAGAGATCAGAACCATTTACCCTCTTCCCACTCCCCACATTAAAGAGGAAAAAAACTGAGAGCTGAAAAAATGTAGTTACTAACCCAAGTCAACACTGGTAGTGTGTGGTAGAGCCTGGATTTGAACACAGACCCTCTGATTCCAAAATCATACTCTTTGAACCACATTCACACTGTCCCTTCTTGAAAAGAACCCTTAATTTGTTTCAAAGCTCTTTCCAAATCATCTTCTGCAATAGGGCCTTTCCTCATGCCCCTCTCTCTACCCCCGCTAATTACCCTGATCTATATGTTCATTTTTGAAACATTTTCTATATACTTATATGTATATATGTTGTCTCCCTTGACAGAATATAATCTGAGGCCAGATTTGATCTCAGGTCCTCCTGACTCCAGGGTGGGCTAGCTGCCTCCCCTCCGGGTTCCTTATAAACAAAACTTCAGCTCATGTGGATGAAGTGGAACGAAGCAAGGCCCTGAGCCAGTCCTGTGCTGTGCCTGGACCCAGAGCTCCCCTCGGATGTTTGCTCATTTCGGCCCTCCCCTTCTTCCTCTTTGCTGCAAGAACAAGCCTGGGATGCTTGAGAAGAGTCCAGGTCTGAGTGGTAGCTATGCCCCCTGGCAGGGCCTGCATCCCTGTGCTGTCCTCTTAACAAGCATCCGTTAAGAGGGCCACTGGCCAGCGGCTCCTGCTTCTGCCACCTCTGTTCTGCTCAGACCTGCCTCCAGGCCACTTCTCACCCCTTTCCCACGGGACTCCCCTCAGCCTTCCCACACCAGACACTCCGCTGGGTTTGGGAATTAATTACACCACATTGGAGCCAAAATTCCAGTGCCTTTGAAAGGCCCAAAGAAGAGGGAGCGCTCCAAGGATAGGTTCCTCATTCCCTTTGTTGGGGACTCAGGGTTCCCAGGCCTTTGATCTCCCAGCCTCAATGGCTCCTCTCCACAGGGCTGGGCTGGGGACAATGCCGCCATTGTCGGGCCTCTCACCAATCCCATAGCGGGGCATTCCTTTCCAGTCACTATTTCTGGTAGGTAGAGACAAATGGGCTGCTTGTCATGTAAAAAAATGTCATAGTATCTGGAAGGAGCTGCTTTCATTTAAAAAGAAAAATACCAGCCAGCCATCAGGAGAGACAATGGAGGGCAACTGGTCCATGGGGCTTTTGTGAACGAGAAATGGAGCTTAGGCCATTCGGATTTGTGGGTGGGAGTCTCTACAACTAAACTGGGGGAGAGGGCCAGAGTTTTGCAGATTTCAGAATGACTCAGAGAAATTGTTTTTATCTTTTTTCTTCCCCTATTTTAAAAATGTTTTTTATTTTATTTTTATATTATATATGTATATATATGTTTTATATTTTATATTTTTATTATATTTTATATTTATTATATTGTTATATAATATATACAATATATACAATAATATATAAATACAATATTATATGTTATATTTATTACATTTTTATATTTGTGTTTTCCATTTATATATACACGAAAATGGAAAGAACCTGCCTTTGGACTGAGAGCTGGGGGACTGCTTTCCAATCCTAACTCTTTCACTTATGGCCTGTGGGACTCTGAACAAGTCACTTTCCATCTCTCTGTGACTCTATTTACTCATCTGTAAAAAAGAGGCCTGTTCTAAATGCTTTCTCTGGTCCCTCCCAGCCACAGAGCTACACTCCCCAAAGATGGTAGGTGGCTTCCTTTCTTCTCCACCCCGTTCCTGGGAACAGTCAGAGCTCACCAAGGGCGGGGGACGCACACACGTCGTTTGGGCCACCCTGCAGAGCAGGGCTTATTGTATCCCTTTGAAGCCCTCAGGTCTCACTTCAAAGTGGGCATGGAACCATTGGCAAGAGGAAAGACTCCACAGGCTAAAAGGATCGAGAGCCAGAGGGGCCTGGCAGGCTATCTCTTCTAATCCCCACATTTTACAGATGAAGAAACTGAGGCCCACCGAGGTTTGACTGATTTGCCTAAGGTCAGATCTACCTATGCAAGGCTGTCTGTTCCAATCTCCACACTTTGCTGGATCTGGAAACCGGCTCAGGGAGATTATACAGCAGAACCAGGCATTTAAAGCCAGGTTCTTGAGAGTTAAGACATTTGCTCTGGTCTATAGAGTAATCAAAATACAGGGGTCACATCCACAAGAAATGTGTGGGAACAAATCCCAGGGGGACCTCTGCAGCTGTTCATACAGCTCTGGCGTCAGAGTCCAGAAGACCTCAGTTTTAATCCTGCCTCAGACACTAAATAGTGGTGACCTTGGGTGAGTCACTTAACCTCCATCTGCCTCAGTGTCCTCAACTGTAAAATGGGGATCATAATAATACCTACCTAATAGGGTAGTTGTAAGGATCTGATGAGAGATAACATTTATCAAGTGCTTTGTAAACCATAAAGTATTATGTAAATGCTAGTTATTAATATTAATAAAATGTTTATTACTGCACGTTTTTAGCTAATGAGTTGATGAAGGCCAATCATCCCTACTACATTGACTTCTTTTTTTAAGAAACAGATTTTTAATGCAATATTTTCTTTTTGGCATTGCCGACATTTCTCCCATACCTCTCCTCCTTCATCCTCCCAAAGGAATTTTTTCATTGCCTTTTAAGCTAGAAGTTCTTAACCTCAAGTCCGTGAATTAAAAAAAAAATTTTTTTATAACTATTTCAAAATAATTAATTTCCTTTGTAAGTCTATATATTTTATTTCATTCATTTAAAACTATTATTGTAAGAAGGGGCCCACAGGCTTCACTAGACTGCCCGAGGAGTCCATGCCCTGTTCTTAATGGACTCTTGTCTTTAGCAACACACAGATGGTAGAGGAATCCCTCCCATGTCCCCCAGTCTACTGAACCTATACAGGTATCTTGACCACTGCCTACCATAGAAGCCACTCTGCAAACCCACCCCTCCCATCTTGGATGGACCAGTAGTAAAAAGCTCAAGGCCCAGCCAACATGGCAGTTGGTGCTGTTGAGGCCATGCCAGCTAAGTGCCCAGGCAGGATTTGAAGAAGACAGAGAAGTCACTCTCTTGAAGCGGCTGTCTGGATACACCAAGAAGCCTAGAGCAAGCCAGGTCCTGGCATCATCTCATCTGTGGTTACAGCAGTCGAGAAAGTAGGTGTCTCCAGCGGAACATGAACCAGACTGTAAGAATTGCCAAGAACAGGTCCTGCCCACCTTTGATAAAAGAGGCCCAGAGAAAGGACAAGAACTTCCTCCTTAATGCAGAGGCTGCAATCCCCTTCTCCACCCTACACACCCACCAATGCCCACTCCTTTGCAACATCTGAGTGCAGCAGAAATAACACAGGATCTGGAATCAGAGAAACCGGGTGCAAAATTCCACCTCTGTTACTTAAGATCTGTTCACAGGCTGGGGCAAGTGGTTTCATTTCTCTGGGCCTCTGGTTTCCTCCTTTGTAAAACAAAGGGGTCAGACTCAATGGCCCATAAGGACCAGCTTTAGATCTATAGTCCTGTGTCCTCTGACCTTTCCCTCCAGTTCTAGGGATTGCTAACATCCTCCTCTCCGATTCCTCCACTTATAAGAGATAGAAACAGGCTCTGCCATTTCCTAATCACTGTGCCTTGTACAATGAGTTGATATCAGTGTCCACACTCAAGCCTACTCTCACTGAATACCAAAGGACAACAGATTTTGGGCTGGAGAGAAGAAAACAGAGGCCTCAAGAAGTTAGGTGGTCTGGCAAAATCCACAAACCCAGATGCCAACCCAGGTCTTCAGACTCCAAATCTAGTGCTCTGGCTACTGTGGCAGGCTTTAAAGGGGGGACTGTAGACCACCCCAGAGTCTCCTCAGAGGTCATCTGGCCCAGGTGCGACCAGAGCAGGAATTCCTTTAACAACGTCCTGGACAACAGCTGGTCAGCCAGCCTCTTCTGAAAGACTTCCCTGGATGGGAAGCCCAATACCTGAAGCCAGGGCTACCCATCCCACTTTGGGGAAGCACTTATTGTTTCCTTACATAGGGTTGAAATCTGCCTCCCAAAAACTTGTTCTCCCTTCTCCTAGTTTTGTCCTCTGAGGCTAAGCAGGAGAAAGCTAAGCCCAAACATCATCAACTTCAACAACCACTATGAAGGAGGGGGTTGGCAGTGGGGTGAGTATTCTGGGACAGAACAGCCAAGGTAGAAAGAGCATCACAGTACTCCACAGAGGGAACCTAAGAACCCGGGCCAAGGACAAGATCAAAGCCACTGGCCAAGCTGCCAGTAAGACATATACAGCCCCACCGCTCTGCCATCAATCTGTGGGAAAGAATCCCTGAAGATTCTTTCCCAAGCCCTGTGATGCAGCTCAGGAAGAATGAATGACTGCTCTGAGCCAGATCTGGGACAGATCAGCAGTACGGTGACCGTCCCCAACGTCCCCCTCCAACCCAGCACACCTCCAACCATCAGACCTCTGGGCCACTCCCTCCCACCTGGTATCACCCCACATGCACACATCAAGGAAGGCGGCCCAAGGAGCCAGCAGCCAGGGAGCTGCACCCCTTACCCAGCGCACAAGCAGCACTTGAGAAGACTCGGTCCCCACTGCTGGTGCCAAGGAAGGGAGACACAACCCGTTTCACCAACTCCTCCAGCTGCAGGTAGCCCTCGCTGGGGCCCGTGGGCTCATGGACACTCTGGAAAGCAACACCCAAAGCAAACAAAGGTCAAGCAGAGCTCAGCCGGCTGGCCGCTGGCAGCCACGTTTGTACAGATGTGGAAAATGAGGCCCAGGGAGGGGAAAAGCAACTCACTCTCATCACTTAGCAAGACTCTGGAGGACGAGGAAACGGAAACCAAGTTCTCTGGGCCAGCTTCCTTTGACTTTTCAGTTCAAATCAACAGGCATTTTAAAGCACCTACTCTGCACAAAGTGCTACTCGAGGTAATGGGGGTATTAGCACCTCAACTCCCCTTGCCCAACTCCACCAGCATTACTGCTGCTGCTACCATCAGACATTTACAGAATGCTCTAAAAGCTGGCAGGACTTGACACATTACATCAGCTGGGCCTTAAAACAAGCCACTGGAGACATGTGGTATTGTCCCCATTTTACAGATGAGGAGGAACAGAAGTGAGTGGCTGGTCCACGCAGCCAACAGAAAGGATCTGATCCCAGGTTCTCTCTGCTCTGAGCTGGGCTTCCCATTTATCCTGCTGTCCCTCCAATCAATCAATTAACAGGCATTTGGTAATCACCGAGTGTATGCCAGGCAACACGCTAAGATCTAGTAACACAGACAAAGGCCCTAAGGAGCTTATCCTCTCATGGGGAACCACAAGGAACATAAGACATATGTACATGTATATGCATGAGGCACATACAAAGACACTAACAGGACAGAAGGGACCTAAAGGTCAGCTGGTTCAACCCCTTCATTTTACAGATGAGGAAACTAAGTCCAAGACAGGAAACATGACCTATCAAGATCAGACAGCTCGTAGATAACGGTAGTAACAAATAGTACATGGCAAGGCCAATGAAGGAAGAAGAGAGCAAGGAAAAAAGGGGAGAAAGACAAAAGGGAAATTATGGGGTAGTGTGGAAAAGTATCAGAAACATAAGCACTAACCTCAAGGTAGTGATGTTGCTAAGCATATGACCCTGGACAAGTCGTTGGGCCTCAGTTTCCTTCTCTTTAAATGTGAGGCTGATGAGCTAGACGATCTCTACGTTCCCATCTAATGCTAAATCTATAATCCTATGTAATAAAAATAAGTGATAGCCCTTTGAAGTTCAGAAATCACTTAATATCCATTATCTTATTTGGGCCCTCACCAGAACCCTGTGGTCACTTTAATGCTCGTATCTATATAATGATCCAAGGTCTCCATCACACTTTCCTCCTGTCCCTGTGAGGTAGGAAGGGCAAGTATTATGACTCCCATTTTATAGATGAAGAAACTGAGGCTCAGAGTGGTTAAGTGAGCTGTCTGGGGTCACACTGATCATAAGTTCCAGAGCCTAGATGCAAATCCAAGATCCTTCCTAACACCAAGTCCAGGACTTTGTGCTGGGCAGCCCCAGGGAAGGGGGCCAGCAGGAAACCAAGCAGGCTCAATTCAAGGGTCACTTTCTATGTCCTCTTTCCATCCATCCCACCCCCTTCTATCTATTTTGAATGTACGTAAACACCTAACATGTGGTTTCCTCTGATAGAATGTAAGCTCCCCAAGGGCAGGGGCCATTTCATGTTTCTCTATTACCAACGCCCAGCACAGTGCCTGGCACACGGTAAACATTTCATAAACGTTTACTGATTGATGTCCAAGTCTATGAAGCTGCATAGCTTGAACAAGGGATGGGTCTCGCTCTGGCCCCAGGGGCATAACTAAAAGATCCGGGCATGGGCCGCAAAAAGACCCAATCAGGCTTCATAGAGGGAAACATTTGCTAACCATCAGGGCTCCCCTTAAGTAGAACAGACTTCCTTGGAATGTACTGAGTTTCCTGTCCCCAGAGGTCTTCAAACACAGGCTAGATGACCCCACATTAGAGATGTTGGGGAGGGGGGTCGTACTCAGCTGCGGGTTCCACCAGACCTCCTGGGAGGCCAGTTTCTGTCACTCCGTGAGTCACCCTCCCAAGGGACCCATGGGGCGGGGGAGGAGAGAGGCCTCATCTCCTCAGGTGCCACTCAGGAGAGCACTTTCAACCACAAAACCACCTTGGCTGGTTTTCAGGCCCAGGAATCGCTTTCAGTCACTTTTACTGCCTTTGTTATTTCTAAAGCACCTTTCCCCACCCTCATCTGCAGCTGCTGCCCTCACCCCTACCCTACACGGAAACCCTACGGAAGATGAATGATAGGAGAGGGGAGACCAGAGAGGGGAGAAAGGGCTGAGGTTGGGAAAGTGTCAGCCAGCCCTGGAGGGGGCTGCCCCTGCCCTGGGGCCCCACTGGGTGCAATCCTCCCCTCCAGCCGCTTCACTTCTTGGAAACACCCCAGAGCATTTTCGTCCCTGAGCTCCAGGAACAGGCCGCTGGTCACATCAGGCCTCTTTCTGGTCTCAGTGAGGCTGGAAGGCCAAGAGCTGGAGACTTTAGAGCCAGCAGGGCCCTCCGACACCTGCTAAGTCCAAGCATCTGCTGGCATAGAAAAGGAGGGGGGGCTTCTCCAAAAGGGAGCCAGGGGCTGTGGCTGGCTGTAAGCTCAGCGGGGGACCACGCAGTAATAATAATAATAATAATGGCAATAATAAATAAGATAATACATTGTGAAGCACTTAACACACAGCCTGGCACATATAAGTGCTATTATGGATATTAATAACAATAACTAGCATTTACATAGCACCTCAAGGCTTACAAAGCGCTTTAAATATGCTACCTACAAGCCTGGGAGGTAGGTGCTATTGTCATCCCCACTGGATTGTGAGATCTTTGAGGGCAGGGAGTGTTTTTCTTTTTATTAACTGTATCTCCAGAGTATATCACAGTGTGTGGCATACAGGAGGAACTTAATTAATGTTTACTGGATTTTACAGATGAAGAAACAGAGGCTGAAAGAGTTTCAGTCACTTGCCCAGGGTGACACAGCTAAGTAAGCACAGTGTTTGGCACAAAGTAGGTACTTAATAAATGTTTATGGAATGAATGAGGGGTAATAGTGGATAGATTGCCAGGTCTAATGGCAGAAAGACCTGAATTCAAATCCAGCCTCAGAAACTTCCTAGCTGTGTGACCCTGGGCAATTCACTCGCCCTGTTTGTCTCAGTCTCCTCAGCTGTAAAATGAGCCGGAGAAGGAAATGGCAAACCAGTCCAGTGTCTTTGCCAAGAAAACCCTAAATGGGGTCATGAAGAGTTGAACTCAACTGAAACAAATGAACAACAAAAGTGAACTCAGGTCTTCCTGGCTCCAGGTCCAACACTCTACCCACTGCACCTGGTACTTGCCTAAGGAAGAGGGGGCAAGCTCGGGCTCCATTAGTGAAGCCTCGGGCCCAGGCAGAGGGGACAGCCCCGCCCTACACAGCCCCCAACGTTGGTGACATTTGGAGGCTGTCATCCAAGAACTCCATTTTAGGAAGGCCACTGATAACATGGAGGGAGACCAGGATGGTGGAGGGCCTCCAGATCATGCCACGCAAGAACGTTTAACCTGGAAAAGAGAAAACTGAAGGAGGTGGTAATGGTTGGTATGGTATCTGAAGGGCTGATGTGTGGAAAGGAGATAGCCTTGTTTGTTATGCTTGGCATTACAGGGCAGCACTATGAGCAGTGGTCAAGAGGCAGAAACAAGTGGCTTAGGGAAGTGGCACAGGAGACAGAGGGTTCCCCCTGACCAGCGGTCTTCTAACCAAGGCCGGAGGACTCTCTGTCATCTAGATACAGGACTAGATGGGCTCTGAGATCCTTTCCAACTATTAAGTTTTGTGTGTGTGTGTGTGTGTGTGAGAGAGAGAGAGAGAGAGAGAGAGAGAGAGAGAGAGAGAGAGAGAGAGAGAGAGAGAGAAAGGACCTGCCCAGGGTCATAGAGACATGAGCAGAAAAGCTGAGATTTGAACTCAGGTCCTCTGACTCCCCAAAGCCAACACTTTGCACCCAGATTTTCGGCAGATGATTGAGCCAGCTGAGAATAGGCTCAGACTCTGGGCTATTTATCGGGGAAATGTGGACACCCCCTCGTCCACCTCCTGCGAAGAGAGACTAACAACCCCAACAGCCGAGTCTAGACTGCCTCTCGGGCAATCGGGGAGCTTGCTTGCTTTGCAGGGGAGGCCACAGGGAGCAGTGGTGAGTGCAACCCAGGGTACCAACATCTCTGGGATGTGCCCTGTGATCAGCACGCCTTGGGGAGGCCCGGTCAGCTCTGGGCTGCTGGTCCAACCCAGGCAAACACAGAACCATCTTCTTGCTCCATCGTGATTTAATCTCGAATGAGCTATTATCCTGGTCTTTTAATGCAATGGGGGGATGGGGAGTAAAGAAACCCCCAATCCTCCTGGTCTAACCCTGGAGGGGACAGGAAAGACCCATGGCACAGAGGTGAAGGTACTCAGAGAGACTTGGGTTCAAAACCTTCCTCAGACACTTACTAAGCTGTGTGACCCTGAGAAAGTCACTTCATCTCCATCTGCCTCAATTTCCTCTTCCGTAAAATGAGGGGGTTGGATTCAATGGCTTCCAAGGCACTGACCTCTGACTTTTTCTACTTTACTTCTGAATCCAATAAAGATAGTGATAAACACATTGAGACAGGGATTGGGTCTTATCCGTATTTTTTTATCTCTTTCAGCACTACACAGCATTAGTGCTTTCTGCACAGAGTAGGTGCTTAAAAAACATGTACAGATTCGTATTTAAAAATAGCACAAAAGCAACATTGATTACGTCCAGGTGCCTGGCGCCATGCTCAACAATGATAGGAGATACAGAATCCCAGAATTCCTGAGCTGGAAAATCTCCAAGGCCTCCTAGCCCAACTCATTCCCGATGAGAACATGGAACTCTGAGCTAGTAAGCAGTCCAGGAAGGCTGACGCTGCCGCACTGGGCCCGGATGACACACACACAGCCTCACCTGAAGAATGAGCAGCATCTGGACGATGGACGACGGGACTTTGGTCTGTCCCACGGGAAGCATCTCCTCCAGCTTTACTTTGAGGAGAACGAGGTCCCGGAAGCCTAGCAGGGCGATCTGGCGGATAGTCAGCTCCTGCCCCTGGAGAAGAGAGGAGACCAGAGAGAAAGGCAAGAAGGTAAACCTTCACCAAAACAGGAAACCTTCCAGAGCCCACGTGCAGCTCTCCTGTACTCCATCCCCGTCCAGTCCAACCCACCCCACCCCACTGGAGCCCGTGTCCCTCCACTCTGCTCTCCTCCTTCCATTCTCTACTCTGACAACCCATTCCCCTCCATCCTCACCCAATCTCCCCCATTCCCCTTATTCCTTTCCAATTCACGCCAATCCATTCCAGAAGTCCCTAGTAAGGGCCAGTTAGCTCTTCATTCATGGCAGAAGTGCTGGAGGACTCTGAAAAATCAAGTAGGGTCTCTCCCCTCACTGAGTTCACTCTTTCAAAGAAACAAGACTTTCACACCTGAAGCAGACTTGAAACCCCCAGAGACCACCACAACTGGTGTGTAATAAAGAAAACGATGCGGCAAGCAGCTGGCATCGAGGTGGCCAGGCAGGAGAGAGACAAGTGGGAGAAGAGAAGGGAAGGTGAACGGAACAGAACAGAGAGGAAGAGCTGGGGGGCACAGTAGAGAGTGTTGGGTTGGGGTCAGAGGACCGTGTTCCAGTCTCCTCACTGCCCCTGGCTCCCTTGGTAACTCCACAAGTTTTTTCATCTCTGTGAGCCTCTGGTTCATTTAAAATGATGGGGATGGCCTACAGAGATGGCCTGGAAGGTCCTTCAGGGTTCTAGATCCATGATTCTAGAACCTCCAAGGTCCCTTCTAGTCTCAAATCTGTGATCCTTAGAAAAACCAGGGAAATGGTCAGTGTTAATGGCCAGGAGTATTGCTTCCTTTCACCCGGGGAATGCTCCAGGTCACATTCCCTCTATGACATAGAAGCAGGGTTTCCCCAATTAGATCCTAGACACGAGGCTATTGCAGAAGGGAAGCTCTGGCTCAGGCTAAAAGGGATCTGGGTGATGTTTGGGTGACTTAACCCATCTGGGGAGTGTGGCACAGTCACTGAGTCAGGGAAAATGAGGAAGAGGGCCTGTCACTAAAGTTCACCTCGCCCATCTCCATGACTCCCTGCCCTCCCAAAACCAAACCCAAGGCTCAGTCAGAGGCTCAGAATCAAACAATGTTCGAGTTGAAAGGGACCTGGAGATCCTTTGGTCCAATCCATTCATTGTTCAAATGAGGAAACTGAGGCACAGAGAGGAGAAATGATTTACACAGCGTCACAGCAGATCCAGTATTCACACCCAGATCTAAAGCCAAGTGCTACCTAGAAATCAAGAGTGGTTCTATCTTCTCCAAGCCCACTGTGGTTTAAGGAAGCTTCTTACATCCTTTAACTGCCCAGAGTTCTGGGAAATGCTGCCATCATCTCTCATCCCCGAGCACCTTTGCCTCAGTCAGATCAAGTGGCACCTCCTTCAGGCAGCCATCTCTGGCCACCTGGGCTGGGAAAATCTCTCCCTCCTCCAAATGCTTAGAGCTCTCAGTGCCTTCTCCACGCATGCGGTCCTTCCTATAGGCCTAGTTCTGATCGCAATTACTGGTGTGTTTCAGACACTCATGGAATCTCAGAGGTGGAATCCTGGGGAGCACCAGAAACCGCCAAGTCCAGCCCCTGACCTCTATGACATCCCTGACAAGTCTCTGCATGAAGACCTCCAAAGAAAGACAACTCACTGCTTCCCAGGCACCCAATCCCCTCTAAGAAGGCTCTCGTGGCTAGGAAGTCTAACTTGGCTTCCATGTCATTTCAATTCAATTCAATTCAACAAGCCTTTATTAAAGGCCTACTTTGTCCTTGCCTAGGCTGGGTCCTGGGGATTGGTGTCAATATTCAGTCATGTCCAACTTCATGGCCCCATTTGGGGTTTTCTTGGCAAACATACTGGAGTGGTTTGCCATTTCCTTCTCCAGCTCATTTTACAGATGAGGAGACTGAGGCAAACAGGGTGAAGTGACGACCAGGGCCACACAGCTAGTAAGAGTCTGAATCTTCCTGACTCCAGGCCTGGCGCTCCACGCACTGTGCCACCTAGCTGCCCTTGCTGAGGATATGATCAAAGTCCCATGCTTTCAATGATCTTGCATTCTTGTGGGGTTGAGGAGAAAAAAGGAAATAAATGCAAAATAAATATAATGGGGGTGGTAGCCCTAACAATTTAGGGAATTAGCAAATGCCTCTTAGAGGAGGTAGCAAATGAACCAAGCCTTAAAGACAGATGGGGGTTCCAAGGTGAGGAGGGAGAACATTCCAGACAGGAGAGACTGACATGCTGTGTAAAGGCAAGGAGGCAGGAGAAAGCATATGGAGAAAGTCAAGCAGTCCAACCTCTACCCACTGCTCCTAGGAATAAGTCTGATACCTCTTCCAGGTGACCCTGGATTGGAATCCAGAGGGCAGGACCCTAATACTCCTAATATGCACCACTCATGGAGCTTATAACGTAGTAGGTGCTTGATCGATACCCACCACCTCCATGTTAAAAGACAGAATAGCTCTCGCCTGCCCACGGCTCAGAATGAACTTAAAACTTGGGGGCAGAACAGTGGCAGAGACAGGGTCCATTTCTCTCCTTTCTGGAATCACTGCCCACTCAGAAGACGACCAGTGAATTGCTCTCCTGCACGAGGCCCCAGCTTGATGGCATTAGAGATTTTGAATGGAGGAAAATTCTTTTCATTGTTTAATTTTTCACTTGGTTCTGAGAAAAGTAATCTATATGCTACCTCGCCCTAAACCTCTCCTGGGGAGATTAGATGTTATCACAAAACCCCAGGAATTCTTACCACGCAGGGCTGCTCTTTGTGTGCAGCAGATAAGGGGAGGTTATCTGTGTAGATGCCAGGGGAAGGCATTAGTAATAAAAACTATTATTATAATTCATAACCACACTTAGGTAATTATGGATAATTACAATGATTATAACTCACAGAAATACATTTGTATATTTTGATGTAGTTTTTGCCACCACAAAGAACTTTCTGAACATCATAACTGACTTTGAGACCCAGAAGTATGCTTGGAGATAATCTGGTCCAAACCTTTCATTTTACAGATGAGGAAACTGAGGCCCAGAGAATAAGACTTGCCCAAGGACACACAACTAATGTGGCACAGTGGATGTCAGCTCTTAGAACCTGCAAGTCCATGAGAAACCAGGGCCAACTTCAGTGTTCATTCCTCATAGAGTTATTGCTTGTGGTTCAAGCTAGAGATGAAACATGAGGCCTACAGAAATGGGAGAAGAGGAAGGAGGTGGAGATGGTGTCCAACTCTCTAAGGTTCTCAGCAAAAATAATGGTGGGCAAAGAAGAAAGGAAGGCAAGAGAACACAGTTTTTGGATCCTCTGTGCCTGGGGATTGCAAAAGCAGAGGGATTCTGAATCATGTCACCAGCATGCCATGCTAGAACCCTAATCTAGTTCTTCCTTTGGGGAGCCTTTCACAGAAGCAACTACCTTGCAAAGTGACATATCTCACATCCACTTAGACCTCCAAAAGACTGGCCTAGAGTCCTGGGATCACAAACTGCGAGCCAGAAGGAATTTTAGAGCCTGCCCTTTCATGTTGTAGCTGAGGAAACTGAGGCCCGGAAAGGTTACCAGACTAAGGTCGCCAAGTGAGTGACAGAGGTGGCATCTGAACTCAGATCCACCGTCTTAAGGGCCAGTGTGCTTTCTGAGCAACCAAACTGAAGTCCAGAGAATGAAAGGACTTGCCCAAGATGGCACAGTGAGTTTGGCGCCAAGCTAGCACTTGAACCCCAGGTCTCATGCCTCTTGGTGTTCTTTTCCTGCATTTGTATTCAAAGAGTTTAGCCCAGCTTCTAAACGTGATCAGCACTTAATAAATGCTTGTTGACTTAGGTTGACTTCTCACTACACCAAATTTTTCTTGCACACAGCATGAGGTAGAGTAGATGTTGGCCTGTCTATAAGTGGATATGAAATGTTGATTCAGTTCAATGTTATCTTCTGGGCTGTCTTCTTCTTAACCAGAGAATCTCATTGTACTATCTGGCAGTTTTTTGGTGGTTTTTTTGGGTCCAGACTTGTGATTTCATCAGTGTGAAAACTTCCTCTTTGGATAAAAATCATCAAGTTATCTGTATGACAGTCCTGGAGGCTTGCCTGGATCACAGAATTACAGAAGGGAATCTGGAGGGAGCCTCAGAAGCTAACCCACCCATTTTACAAGAGAGGAGGCCGAGGCACAGGGTGGTTGAGTGATTTGTCCAAGGTCTCATGGGTAGCAAGTAAAGGAAGGATTTAAACCCAGATCTGCCGACTTCAGAACCAGAGCTCTTTGAGAGCTCGAGTGATTTGCTCATAGTCACACCGCTGGGCTATGTTGAGGGACAACCTGAGCCCAGGTATTCCTCATTTACAAGGTCAGCCCCGCTCCCCCCATGCCACATTACTTCTGGCATCCTGGGGGATCTGGCTGGTTCCTGTTATTTCCTGCTGCTGGGTTCCTGGAACCAACCAGTTTTCTTCATGTGTCTTGGGATGGGCATGAATGGTTACAATCTTTGCCCTATAAAAAGTTTAGTTAAAGCATTGCCTTTAGGGCTTCCAGGGTCCATGTTAAATATTACATTTTATGATTATTTTTGAAGACTTAAGATTTATAAAAAACTGGAGAAGGATATAAAAAGTGTGCCCCGTGTCTCCGGTGTTTAAATAGATGTTGAACCAGATCCAAGACTCATGGCACCAGAGGGGTGCCATCACACCCAGTATCCCACACCACAAATCATGCTGTCGCAGAAGCTTTGGCTGTAAGGACCAACCCTCCCCTATGCCTCTCCCATTCCCCATAATTCCCCAAGGCAAGAAGGCTTTAACTTTGACCCCTTTTCAGCAGGAAAACTCTGGTCTTGGGTTTTGCTATGGAATAATTTTATAGTAGGGCGGGTGTACCCAGCTCATGCAATATGACCTCTAGACTAGTTAATCGTTCGTTCCTCGGAGGATTATTGCAGCCCTTCTGAGAAGGAATCCCATCCCAAGCTAGGACCAGCTTTCAAGAAAGTGCCATAAAGAGTCATCATGTCATCAAATCCTCAAATCCCTGCAGGGTTTTAAGCGCCTTTCTCATTAAAAGACAAAAAGACATAAATGTCTCTCTTACCCAAAGGACAGTCCAGTATCTCCTGGTTAGGCATGAGGAAAGAGAAAAAGCAAAGAGCAAACGGTTTCATTAAACACACATGAGATTATAATGCCGAGGATCACAGACCAAGATTTGGAAGGGTCTGAGAGCCCGCATCCTCCAACCCCCTCGTGTCACTGAGGAGGAAACGAGGACAAAGGAGGTGACTTGTCCAAAGCCACAGAGGTGGCCCGTGCCTGAAGCAGGGCTTGAGCCCAGGCATTCTTGACTCTGCACTGAATAGGGTATCAACCACCCCATCCTGCACACGAAGGAACGGCCCCAGCTCAGAGAAATCCAGCCATTTGCCTGTTATCACACAGTAGTACGCAACACAGCCGGGATTCAAACCCACCTCCTCCAATTCCAAAGCCCAGGCTCTTTCTCACGGCACTGCCTTCACTACCAGGTTCATAGAGTCACAGAGCTGCAGAGATCCTCAGACGTCACCTGGTTCCACACTCTCATTACAGAGGCAGCCAGGTGGCTCAGTAGACTGAGCTCTGGACCCTGAGTCAGGAAGACCTGAGTTTGAATCTGGCCTCAGACACTCCCTAGCTCTGGTGACCCTGAGCAAGTCACTTTACCTCTGTCTGCCTCAATTTTCTCATCTGTAAAATGGGGGTAACAATAGCACTATCTCCCAGGGCTGTTCTGAGGATCAAGACAATATTTATAGAGCCTTAAAGCGCTATACAAATGCTAGCTATTATGTGATTAGCTGTTCTTACAGAGGGAGAAACCGAGTCACAGGGGAGGTTAAATAAACAAGGTCATACTGGTGCTACGGTCAGAGGTGTGATTTGAACTCAGGTTCTTGGACTCCAGGGCCTACTGTTTCCATTATACTGATGGTACATAATGGTAAAAGTCCACATTTGCATAGCATTTTAGCACTGACCAAGTACTTTCCTTGAAAGCAGCCCTGTGGCATAGGCTGTAGGTGAATTCCCTCACCAGACCGTCAGAGTCAGAGCTGTAAGGGACTCTGGGGGTCACCTTGTCCAACCCTCCTCATTTTACGGAGGAGGAAAGTGACATGTCCCTCCACTGATGGCAGATGAGCCCTTACAACACACACACACACACAAGGTCTCCCTGTCACTTCCATATACATTTATTAACTGTCCCCTGGGTACTAGGCACTGGAGGTTCCCAAACCAAAAAATGGGAGAGCTGACCTTCAAGGAGCTTCCATTCTACTTGACGTAGGGAAATAATATGTGTTTATGAATAGACACAAAATAATTCAAGGGATCAAAGTGATAAGAGACAGCAAGGCATGGTGGACAGGAGGCCAGACTCAGAGTCAGGGAAGACCCAGATTGATGTCCTGCCTTTGACATGTACCATCCTGGGTGACCCTGAGCAAGTCACTTGACCCTGTGCCCAAGGCAACTCTCTAGGACCATAACTGTCAGACAGCATTGTGGAAGGACTTTCCATAACTGGGAGCCCCTCTCTTGGACAAATTACAAAAATTTCCAGACAGGAAAAAAAACTGGGAGATATCTTGGGCAACCTTCTACGTTACAGACCAAGTGTTGATCTGTACTCAAGAAAGGAGTTGCCATACTAGTTGCTGCTTATACCAATAGTCTAGACTAAAAATGAATAAATAAGTAAAATTGAGGGAATAAACGCCAACATTTGGGGGGTGGGGGAAGAATCAGGAAAAGCTCTGTGTAGACTCTAGCACCCCTCCTCAGGTACCCGAGGAGCCATCATGAACCCCAAAGTCATTGCTGGAGACCAAGCTGGAAGGAACCTCAGTGACCATCTGGTGTAACCAAAAACTGAACAAGAAATCCCTCTAAAACATTCCTGGTAACAAAAAACCCCCAAATTCCAGATAAACTGGGGTCAAAGAGACAAGCTGACTTAAAGTTTCTGAACCATTCTCAGTAATAACCTGGTTTGGGGTCCCACTAGCCCTGCCTCATCTGGTTTTTAATTGACCTTCAGCGAAGGGGAATCCTTTACCTTGTAAGACAACTAATTGTACTTTTAGACAGCTCTAATCACTAGGAAGTTTCTCCTAACATCAAACTAACTGTATATGATGACTGTTAATGGAAGTACACCAGTGGGGGCTCATAAGCTATAGTCTTAGAAGTGAAGACCCACAGGACATTCCTCGAGAAGCTGAGAAAGCAACTCTCTGGGAACCCAACTCACAAATAAATGCAAATGAAAGCTAAGGACGTATTGCAAGGAGGGGTGTGACAGAAGTATGAAGGCAGGACTTTAATAGAGGGGTACAAGTATCATCATCTCCATTTTATAGATGAAGAGACAGAGACTTGCTGGGATATATCTGTAGCAAGCCCCAAACTCAGGAAGAAATTATCAGAGTTGAGACTCGAACCCAGGATCGCCAACTCTGAATCCATTGTTTTTTTTCTACCATGTCCCATACAGGCAGTGATCCGTTTCTCCGTTCCAAGAATGTTCTGGGCTTTCACCAGATGTGCAAGGGGCGGGATGCCCCACTGTGCTCCTCCTTCGCTGTCCCTTACACTATTCCCACCTCCTAGCCTCACACTCCAACCCCCACCAAAAGTGGCTCTAAAACCATACTGCCTATGCAGGTAGCCATCAACTCTGCCTGGAGATATAGGAGAGATGTCAGAGTCACCCACTCCGCTGTGGCCTCAACAGGAATCCTCTCTATGGCATCTGAAAAGTATGTCCATCCATCCATCTCCATACCTGTCCATCCATATTTCTGTCTATCTACTCAACTGTACTCACTTGTATATATATGCAGCATTCTCCCACCCCCTCACTCTTGCCCCCTAGTAGAATGCATGCTTCTTTAGGACAAATGCAAGGACTGTTTCATTTTGTGTTTTTGTATCCCCAATGCTCCAGGGATGAGGAATTCACTACTTCCAGAAACAGCCCCTTCCACTTTGGGATCACTCTAACAAGTTTATCCTGAGCTCAAGCTGAAAGAAGGCTCAGCAAGTATCTTAATTCTAAAAGGACCGTGAGGTTGGTAGCAAACTCCTTGTCTGTCTCATGAGTTTCGGGAGGGGCAATAAGAAACTTTTCAAGGATTTTAAAAAAAGACACAGTAGAATCACATCCGCCCCTTGTACACTTTATCTGAAACAAGGAGAATCAAATTTGTTCCTGTGGTGAAGGGGGCAGGGTAGGGAGGAAGAACCCCCAGCACCCCACTGCGTAGATGCGAGCAGAAATGTGACAGTGACACATCTATTCCCCGAGTCAGAACTGTTCCTGAAAAAAGCACCACGGAGATCTGAGAAAGAGAACAGAATACCCCAAACTGATGGCCCCCAACTGACCTGCAGCTCACAGATTCCAGCAGAGTAATAATAAAAATAACAACAATAATGGCAGCTAACATCTTATCACACTTTTAAGATTTGCAAAGTGCTTTACTATTATCTCACTTGATCCTCATAATAACCCTGGGGGGGTAGGTACTATTATTATACCCATTTTACAGATGAATAAATTGAGTAGTGACTTGATCAAGGCTAGATCACTAGTTATTTGTTTAGGAGAGGATTCGAATTCAGGTCTCCCTGATTCCAAGTCCAATGCTCCAGCTACAAATCTCCCTATTCTGCCACCCAACCTGGGTGATGATGGGATGAAAAGAAGAGTCACAATTACTGTACACTGAATTTATCTAATGAGACTGACCTGAACAGGGTAAAATATCGCCTGCAGGGTGGGGAGGGTCTCAGTGAAGAAATGATCCCATACTTCAGCCAGAAGGTCAATTCGATTTTCACCTAGATGTGGAAAGACGGGATGGCAGAGGTAAAGAAAAGAATCATCGATTATTATGTGAGTGTCCCATCTCCCCTAATTCCATTTTAAACATGTACTCCTTTCTCTCCAGAGCTTAGCTCAACGGTCACCTCCTACTTGAGACCGACAGGGATACCTCAGCTATTACGCTTTTGAAATAACTTTGCATTACTCTGTATACCTGACATGTAGTAAGCACTTAATAAATGCTCGCCCTGTCTGTCCATCTGTCGGTCTACCTATGGGACCATCCACCTGTCCATCTATCTCTCCATCCATCCATCTCCACAACTGTCCATCTGTATATTCCACTATGCGTTCAACTTGTATATATGCTTCATTCTTCCTCTCTACCTTCTCACTCCTGCCCCCTGGTAGAATGTAAATTTCTTAAGAACAAAGGCAAGGCCCATTTTGTTTTGTGTTTTTGTAACCCCGATACTCCAAAAGGTGGCGCTTGAGTTGAGCTACGAAGCGACCTAGGGATTCTAAGAGGTGGAGGTGGTGCATCCCAGGCAAGGGGCACAGCTGGGGCAAAGACACGGAGGCAGGAGATGGGATGTTCCATATAAGCAGCAAGCACACCAGCCAGCAGAATACAACATAATGGACAGAACCAGAATGGAACCTTTCAGATTAAAGAGTCAGATTTTTTTAAGGACCCAAAGAAAGATGCATTCATAGGAGGGTAAAAAGATTCTGAGGGCCTGAAAGGTCATCTAATCCAGTCCTCTTTTGATACGGAACTTGAGATCAGAGAGGTTGAGTATTTCACCCAGTAGGGAAGTAGAAGGGCTGGCATTTTAACCCAGTTCTCCTTACTTCAAAAATCAAAGCTTTTCTCTTTACTCCAAAATGCCCTTCCAGGGTACTGACAATACTGCACACGAGGTCCATCACTTCAAAGAAATGGAAGCCTACGAGAATGCAAAGGCATCATTAAAGATGGGAATGCGTCTATTATTTAAAGACCATCAGGGAAGGATGTTCCACTATGAGAAATGCTTCCTCGAGCCTAATCTAATTTCCTCAGGCCTTCGCTTAAATTCTCTTAGATCTGATGCTCGTTTCCGAAGGGGGGGGGGCTGGGGTCATCATCCTTAATTCTTGTCCTTCTATGGAATGAACAAGATGACCCTTGGGATCTAAGACTTGGGAGAATGACTACGGAGTACACACATGACTGACTGGAACAGATAATTTGGGGGAAGATGGATTTTTTTTTCTTAAAGCTATATTGAGGGGGCAGCTAGGTGGCACAGTGGATAGAGCACCAGTTCTGGAGTCAGGAGGACCCGAGTTCAAATCTGGCCTCAGACGCTTGACACTTACTAGCTCTGTGACCCTGGGCAAGTCACTTTAATCCCACTGCCTAGCCAAAAAAAAAAAAAAAAAAAAAAAGCCACATTGAAGGTAATTCATTACCAGAAATATCCATTCTGATCAACAACAAAAACAGTAACAAAATTCACATTTACATAGTCCAGTAGCCTAGTTCAGCCCTTCATCATCTTCCACCCATCCGTTGTAATAGCCTCTTAACTAGTGTCTCTGCCGCCTGCTTCTTGCATCTCTGCTCCATCTTCCCCTCAGCTGCCAAAGCGATTAGTGATTATTTCTAATGTGCAGGTCTGATCTGGTCACCTCCCTGCTCAACACACCGCAGTGGCGCCATGTTACACCGAGGACCAGAGACAAACCTCCTTCGACTGACACTCAAAGTCCTTTACAACCTAATCCCTACCTACCTTTCCATTCTCATGACGTGTCATTCCCCTTTCTCATCTACTCTACGATGCCGTAAAACTGGCCTTATTGTTTCTCACACACAAGGTTCCATCTTCTCCTTGCCCTGGATGCCCCCAGGTCTGGAATACGTTGCCTTCCTCACCTTTGCTTCTTAAAACCTTTAATCTCCTTCAAAGCTCAGCTCTAGATCTTACTTCTACCCAAGGCTTTCTCTGATCCCCCTCCATGAACTCTACAATCCAACCAGACTGCCCTACTTGGGACTCCTCAGATGCCATACTCCATTTTCCTGTCTGTCTTCTGTGCCTGGAATGCTCTCTTACTTCATCTCCACCTCCCGGGTTCCTCTTGAGACTCAGTTCGAATCCAACCTTCGCCAGGAGGCCTTTCCTGATGCAAGACTCCCCCTCTTCCCTCTGAGATCACCTTCCACTTGGTACACACACACACACATACACACACACTTTACGTAGAGTGTGTGTGTGTATCTTGTATGTACCCAGTTATTTACATCTTGTGTCATTAGAATGTAAACTCCCTGCAGGCAGGCCCTATTTCACTTTTGTCTTTGTATTTTTAGCACAGAGCACAGTGCCTGGCAAACAGCAGGAGCTTTAAAAATGCCTTTTCATTGTTGCTTTAAATCTTATAAAGCACTTTCCTTACAACAACCATGTGATGTGGGCAGTGCAAGGATCATTATTGCCATTTCAGAGACACATAAACCAGAGTTTGGAAAGTTAAAGTGACTTGCCTAGGATCACCCAAATAGTAAATATTAGAACCTGGATTTGAACTCAAGTCTTCTCTTTGAATGGCACCATGAGGTGAAAACACAGTTTACCACATGGACCCTAAGAACGGTGTTATAGACAGAAGTTCCAGGATATCGTCATAGAATCATTTTCATTATTCTAATTACTTTACGATAAACAATAAAAGTCCCTCCAAACAGACAAAACAATCAAAGTCCCTCCAAACAGACAAATTGACACATAAAACAAGGGACACAGAGTTTACCCAAACCGCCAGCTTTAATAAGGAATAACTCAATGAATTTACAAAGACGATCCTTTTTGTTCTGTCTCCTCTGAGGCCTCCCCAAAGAGCCACCCATAATTCTCAGACAGAGACACAACAGTGACCAATCATGTCCAAGCCTAGATTCACTGATAACTGTCCAAATATATCTCAGCTAATACAAAGCCAAACAGAAAGTCCCTGGCAGAAAACCAACCCCCTTCTGTTCAGAAGAGTCGATGAATGAAGCGGCCTGCTTAATCAAATATTGTGATTCCTTGAGAGTTACCATAAATGGGCCATCAGTTTTTAAAGCCTTGTAATACGATAAAAAACATGCAATCCTGAAACTCGTTTGACTGTAATTTAATCTGCCATGTATGATGCTGTAAAAAGAGCAGGGGGTGGGGGCCTGGTCAGAATATCTGGTTCGAGTTTCTGTTCTTCTATTTACTAGCTGTGTGAGCGTAAGGGGATCAATTCACCTTGCCTCAATTGAGTAAAATGAAGGGCTGGTGGGCATGCCAGCTAAGCGACCTCATTAGCTCTCAATCCGACGATATATTTGTCACTTCAGGGTCTGTCCTGACTCATCCTTTCGATCCACAACTTACAATGCTGCAGAAATGTATCGATTATGTGGGTACCAGATAAAGAGCAGTCTATTATCACATCAGACTGGAGATGACTGATGAGGAACCAAGGACCCTGCCCCTGACTTACCCCCCGTTTAGCCCCCACTGAGGGCATTAGCAGAAGCTAATTGTGTGTAGACAACACACTGTAATTCTGGTGCGTTTGCTGAATCACTCAGGCACCAGTTGGAGAAGAGAGACAGATAGCCTGGAAACCATAATTTCTAGCAGAGGATATGAAAAATGTCAAGTATCTTCCTGCCTTTCCTCCCCTCTCCCCCCACCCCTAGCCCTTCAGATATCTCTAGGGCAGGCAGGCAGGCAGGCAGGACAGTCTCCCAGAAAACTCACCCTGACTCATCCATGACCCACATGGTACATAGCCTATGCCACATGCAGGCCAAGAACGGGGTTTCACCTTTGCTGAGAATGGCCTGCCTGAGGCAGAGGGGGAAGACTGTGGCTATCTATTGTGATTTACTGACCTAGATAAAGGAATTGATTGGGATCTGTGTTTGCTCTTGAGAGGCCAAGAAATTAGGTCAGTTCAGATGAGATAGCAAGAGATGGCAAACCCAACTTGACTGAACACAGCTTTGGAGATGTACTTGGTGGTTTTCCCCAAAGATGCTATTTATTTAGTGGGAAATAAAAGTGACAGGAAGAGAGGGAGAGGATTGAAAACACAGATGCTAACATAGCCACATGTTCTAGGGCTGCCTGTGAAGGGAAATAACACGGGGGAAAGGGTGAATTTGGAAAACAAGTGTATGAACTTTTCAATGGATATTCCAGGAGGTGAGATTGAAGGAGAGAGTATCTTTAAATCCACAGGGGCTGGGATCTGGGTGGGAGAACAACTCACTAGCCATGAAATAGAAGAATAAAGGACAGGATCTAGGGTCTGAAGGCCTGTGTTTTAATTCTGGCTCTCCTATGTCACCCAATCAATAAACAAACATTTATTAAGTGCCTCCTGTATGCCAGGCACTGCACTAGGACAAATGAACCACCTTGCCCTCAGGGAGCTCACATTCTACTGAGAGGGAGAGAAAAGGACAAACTATCTATCTACATCGATCCATATACATATACATACATACATACACACACAAACATATATACAATGTATAGGGGAAGCTAGATAGCTCAGTGGATAGGGTACTGGGCCTGGAATTAGGAAGACCTGAGTTCAAATCTGGCTCCAGACGCTTACTAGCTGTATGACCTTAGGCAAGTCACAACCTCTGCTTGCCTCACTTTCTTCATCTGAAAAATGGGGGTAACGGCACCTACCTCCTGGGATTGTTGTGAGGACCTAATGAGATATTTGTGAAGTGCTCAGCTCTGCACCTGGCACACATAGTAGGTGTGTTAATGTGTTAAGGTTGTGATAATAGTTATTATCACAAAGGACAAAACTAAGGCTAGGAAAGCTTAGAGAGAAGCTCACTCAGGACCACACTGCTCGTTAAGTGTCTGAGGCTGGATTCGAACCCTGGTCTTTGTGATGCCAAGTCCAGCACTCTGTTCTCTGCTCCAGGCTCTAAAATGAGAAGGTTGTACTAGGGAATCTCTAAGGTCCCTTCTGGATCTTAAAAGTTCAGCAAGAGGTCAACAGACCAGCAGCCACCACAGTTAAGGATAATAACAGCTGCCCTTTGCATAACACTTTACATAAGGATTTCATCTGAACCTAACAAACCCTCTGGGAGTTAAATCCTAGCTACAGGCGTTATTGTAATTTTACAGAAAGGGAAACTGGGCACAGAATGGTGAAGTGACTCTGCTAAAGTATCCAGATGACGATGAGTGAACGGGACAAGATTTGAACCTGTGATCCTACAGGGCGCTACCTACTACGTTGCACTGCCTTTCTTACAAAGCGCTGACTCCTTTGGTAAACCCAGAGCCCCAGGGTCCTGCGATATGCCCTGGCCTTTCCTCTAAAGAGGAAGAAAAGATCCCCAGATCCTCAATTTTTACTGCTGTCGTTAATTTTTATACCGCCTTCATTTCTGGAATATATCTGCCTTCCACTGCAAGCTGTCTTGAACAGTGAATAAAAGAATAATTCAGCAGGACCATTCATTAGAAGTCTCTGACTATATGCAATATTCCATACCGATAGTCCCTCAACTGAACTTTTCTTGTTATCCACCCCAAATCTCCCAGAACAGGGATTAATGTGACATATAAATTGGGCTGGGACTGCAGGCAATTTGAGTCAGGAAGACACGGCTTCAGAGCCAGACTCAGATTCTTACTGGCTGTGTGACTCTGGGCAAGTCAATTAACTTCTATTTGCCTCAGTTTCCTCATCTGTAAAATGGGGATAATAATTGCGCCTACCCTGAGGATCAAATGAGATACAATTGTGAAGATGCTTAGCACATAGTAGGAGTTATAGAAATGTTTCATTTCCTTTCCACACCTCCGTCCTTTGAATTATAGCCCATAAGCGGCTGCCAATCTATTCTGAGGGCCAGCCCTGATGGCTCGAAGAAGATGGGGCTCTTTTGGCCTGTGATTAAACTTTAAAGCGTTCCCAAAAGATATCCCTTCCATCTTCAGGAAGGCAGCCCTGCTTAGAACCCCCAGCCTAGCCTAACCTCCACCTTACGATGTGGAATCCAGATTAGTCACATCAAAGATAACAAGAACAAAGGCTGAGCCAAGACGGCAGAGTGAAGGTAGGGATTCCCCCCAGCTCTCCCCTAAACCCCTCCAAAAATTTTTAAATAACGGCTCTAAACAAATTCTAGAGTGGCAGAATTCACAAAAAGACAGAGTGAAACAACTTTTCAGCCCAAGACAACTAGAAAATCGGTGGGAAAGGTCTGTTGCACCAGGGTGAGGGTAGGAGGGAAAGCAGTTTGGGGGAGATAAAAGTCAGACGCAAAACGTTTTTGAGAATGGACAGGGTAAAAGGAAAGAAAGAGGATAAATGGGGGAAAATAGGAGGGAAATACATAATTACTGTGAAATTTTTTTTTTACAGTTTCTTTGATAAAGACTTCATTTCTCAAACATGGAAAGCTGAGCCAAATTTATAGAAATAAGAGCCATTCCTCAGCTGATAAACGGTCAAAGGATATGAACAGGCAGTTTTCAGACAAAGTAATCAAAACAATTGATAGTCAAGTAGAAAAAAATGCTTTAAATCACTATTGATGAGAGAAATGCAAATGAAAACAACTCAGAGCTACTACCCCATATCCGTCTGACTGGCTAATATGACAGAAAAGGAAAATGACGAATGTTGGAGGGGATCTAGGAAAATTAAAACACTAATGAACCATTGTGGAAGTTGTATATCGATCCAGCCATTCTGGAGAGCAATTTGGAACTATGCCCAAAGGGCTACAAAACCATACATACCCTTTGACCTAGCAATATCACTACTAGGTCTGTATCCCAAAGAGATAAAAAACAAAAAGGAAAAGGACCTATGTGTACAAAAATATTCATAGCAGCTCTTTTAGTGGTGGCAAAGAATTGGAAATTGAGGGGATGTCTATCAATTGGGGAACTGTTGAACAAGCTGTGGTATAAAATTGTGATGGAATACTATTGTGCTGTAAGAAATGATGAGCAGGATGCTCTTAGAAAAACATGGAAAGACATGAACTGATGCAAAGTGAAATAAGCAGAACCAGGAGAACACTGCACACAGTAACAATATTACATGATGATCTATTATGAATAACTTAGCTATTCTCAGCAACACAATGATCCAAGATAATTCTGTAGGACTTAAGAGAAAAGGTGCCGTCCATCTCCAGAGAAAAAACTGGCAGAACCTGAATGTAGGTCAAAGGTACTTTTTCTTTATTTTCTTTGTTTTTCTTGGTTTTTTTTTGTCTGTATTTTCTTTCACAGAATGACTTACGTATTTTGCATGACTATACATGTATAAACCTATGTCAAATTGCTTGCCTTCTCAATGAGGGGACAGGTAGAGAGAATCTGGAACTCAAAATTTGAAAAAAAGAATGTTAAAATTGTTTTTACATGTAATTGGGAAAAAATAAAATATTAAATAAGATTCTTTAAAAAAGAATAACAATATATGCCCCTGGGGAGAAGTCATGGAAACCGGCAGAACACTGTTTCCAGAGAAACCATCCCAGCTTCTTCTAAAATAACAACGATGACAACAAAGTCCCGATAAAGGCCCAGGTAGTTCTGTTTGGTCATGGCAGCAGCAGCAGCAGAGCCCAGGACGACTCAGCTGGTGCCCTGAAGGCTCCATTCCCAGGGGCAGAAGGAATCCCGGACAGCCGAGGACAGATGCTTCCCAGCTGTCCGGACATCACAGGCTGCCTCCCAGAGGCCTCTGTCCACCCGCTCCAGGGGCCCCTCTTACTCGCCTTCACACAGGTGAACCTTCTCTTCCACAAACAGGAGCCCTTTAGCAAGCAGCTGGTTCTGCCAAGAGACAAGAAAGAACAGAGATGTTGGCTATTTCAGAGAGGATCTATGAGCCCAGCAAAGACCTCACTATTTAACTAAACAAAGATTCGGTTCTGAGTGTTCCCCAGGCACCCACATCTGGGTTCCTCCTGGTGGGAGGAACAACACAGGATACTCAGAGTTGAGAAAACGTACTTTTCTCTCTTCTCGGCACAGGTGAGGGACTATGGGTATGGAATATTGCATATAGTCAGACACTTCTAATGAATGGTCCTGCTGAATTATTCTTTTATTCACTGTTCCAAGACAACTTGCGGTGGAAGGCAGATATATTCCAGAAATGAAGGCGGTATAAAAATTAATGACAGCAGTAAAAATTGAGTACACTGCACCCCGGGGTCCACTGTTTTGAAAGGTCAACTTTTTCCTTCCATAGGCAGGGATAAGACCTCCCTCCCCCCATACCACATTCGCAGCCGCATTTGTCCCCTCTCCCCTTAGAGCCCCTCTTTATGTGTGGTCCTACCCCACTGGATCCTAAGCTCCTTGAGGGCAGGAACTGTCTTGTTTGTATTCCAGCGCTTGGCATGTAGTAAGCATTCAAAGAGGATCCCTATCGATCTACCCATCTATCTGCTCATTCGTAATCTACCTATCGTTAGCTACCTTCTGTCTAAACTCCAGATCCCACAAGGAATAAAGGGGACCAACCGTGTACCTAAAGGGAGACTTCATTTAGCACAGGGGTTCCCAAAATGAAGCATATATGCATGTATATATTATATATGTGTGTATGCATGTATATGTGTTTATATGTATATATAGATACGCATGCATGTATACATGGTCCTCAATTTTCAGATGAAACCGGGGATTTATATGTGTGTATGTATGTATGCATACACATATATACATATATATATACATACAAACATATATATTTGTATTGACCTCAATTTTCAGATGATGAAACTGGGGCCGAGGGAAGCCAGATGACTTGCTCAAAGTCACACAGCTACTGTCAGTCAGGATTTGAACCCCAGTCTCCTGCCAATGAGCCCAGTCTTCTTTCTGCCTCAAAGATACCTTGGGATGACTCCCAAAGCTCTTCGGTACTTGCTTTGGAGAAAGGGGAAACCGAGGCCCAGGTAGAACATACCAATTATTCCAGGTGACCAGGGGGGAGCCACATATATGAAACAAACCCGAGGCTCTCACTCACCAGGTAATTCTGATTAAAGGGCAGGGGGAGGTCTACAGGGGCTGCTTAGAGAGGAAGAGTAAAGTTAAGGGTCCAAGCAAGGACAAAGTCGGGGCCAATCTTCTAGGAAGGGGACCTCAAAGGGTCAATCATAGCAGTGTGTCGGTGAAAGGGACCCTAGATTTAGAATCTGAGGACTCAGATTTGAATCCTGGCTCAGTTATGTGGATAAGTCACTTACGATGTGGGCTTTTAGCTGTAAAATAAGGGGGTTTAATGATCTCTAAGGTCCTTCTAACTCCAAACCCTGTCGTTGTATTCTCAGTACTTTGCACACAGTAGGCACTTAATAAATGTTTGCTGGATTGGATCTGGGTTGCAAAAAGGAAGGTAGAACTCTGGCCATGTGGGAAACCAGCACCTCTTGCATAACAGAACAAAATGCTCCTTTTCCCATGTTTGTTGGAACTAGTCCCGTGCAATGACCCCTGTTCTCATTTCCCTCCTTCCTGGCTCTCCTGGTCCCAAGCATTGCATTTGGGAAGCTGAACACTGTGTAGTTATAATAACTAAGCTTGGCCCCAGAGACAACGTGAGAAATTGCTGAGCTCTCACTGCCTAGGTGACCTTGGACAATTCATTTTATCTCCTGGTCTAAAGGACCTCAAGATTCCCTCTAGCTCTACGGTGAAAATCTTGATCCAGTCTCCCTCCTTTTATTGCAGAGGTGGGGACCACAGGTGTGGAATACCGCAGAAACTGCTGCACCACCAATGTGTTTCCTCTTTTTAAAAAATCTTTGTTAGAAGGGATTGTTTGAAATAGAAGAGGGGAGGAAAATGTCAGGTACCCTTCCCAAGCCAGTAGGCAGAAATCTACCTCACGGCTCCCACCTATCACACCAACAAATCAATTTTGATGAACGAAAGTAACTGACCAAAGAGCAGCCGGTCTGTGAGTACTATCATGGCAGCCGGCTGCTTAGTGACACTCAGGACAAACCTCTACTCAGTTTCATAGGAGGTAAGTATCAGGGCCATTCCCCCAGCAGGCCCCTCTCTTTTATTCACAACCCTGATATGCCTCCTATTTTGAGAGGGGGCAAATGCCAAGACATGAGCAAACTCAGTGCTAAAAGGGCTGACACAGTGGATACAGCAGTGGACTGGAAAGTGTGCAAGACAATCTGGGTGAGCCACGGGACCCTGGACGAGTCACTGGAATTTTCTGAGGCTCAATTTCCTCATTTGCAAAATGGAGATAATGATACCCAGAGTATGCACCTCTGAGGTTCTGATGAGATAACATGTTAAATGCTTTGCAAAATAACATCAAAAAACACATTTTACAGCACTTAAAAGTTTACACCAAATAGATGTGCATGGTGGAGGGGGGAATACAAAGATGACAGCTGTTCATGCCCTGAAGATGCCCGCATCTAAGAAAGAAGGCAAGACACAGACGTGATGTAAAACTGAATACGTTAAGTGTGGTCAGAAAGGGATAAAATGTTGTTTTCCAAGAGGACCGACGACATCACGGTTGACGTCTTGACTTGTGGGTGAATTGGATTCGAGTGAGGCAGGGTTGCACAAAGTCATCAGCCTCGCTCTGTCTTCCAGGGTCATCGAAGTCCAGTGGCAGGACAAAAGTCGGGACAGCTGGTGATGGATGCAGCAGATGACCCTGGCATCTCTGATGTCCGACCAAGCTCTAAGCGCTCTGCAGCACCTGCTTCAGCCGCCTTCCCGGCCTTCGGAACAAACTGTTCTCGTCCTCCCGTTCCACTGGGGGACATCTTCACACGCTTGGGGTAGACGCCCCCTAACTCAGCCACAGCTGTGAGGCCTTTTCATGCTATTAGAAATACTAGTAATAAAAATGAAGGGGAAAAGGAGTGACTGTCAGTGCAATCACCAAGGAGAAGCCCACAGGGTCAGAGTTAGAGTAGGAAGGGACCTGGGACGCCATCTACTCCAACTCCCTCATTTTAGAGATGCAGAAACGCAGGCCCTGATGGTAAAGTGATGCTCAAGGTCCTACAGGAAGTGGCGGGTCTGGGATTTGAATCCGGGTCCTCTCCCTCCCAAAATCACTGAATGCTAGAGCTGGAAGGGCCCTTGACAAATCATTTAACCTGTCCCTCTTCGTTTTATTCAACAGGAAACCAGCCCAGAGAGAAGGGTGACTTGCCTAAATACATAAAACTGGCCCACAGGATGGTCAGGCCTGAAAGACAGACTCTCCAGCTCCAAGTCCACTCTTGTCACCCATCATTCTTTTCTCTGCACAAACACCCCCACCAGGCCAGCTGCTGCTAAAGGGTTAATGAATACTGAGGCCGGGGGAGGGGATCAGAACCATACTGTGAAGAGCAGCTGACAGAAAGAAGACTGTGGATCACATGGGCCATAGATCTGGAGATAGAGGGAACCTCAGGCACCCTTTAATCTAGGCCCCCTCATTTTACAGATGAGGAAACTGAGTCCTAGGGAGGGTCAATGACTCACCGACCATCAAAGATCCAGGATCATGGATTTGGTGTTGGAAGGGACCTTTTCAGTTGTTTTTCATTCATATCTGACTCTCCATGACCCCATTTGGGGTTTTCTTGGCAATGATACTGGAGTGTTTTTGCCATTTCCTCCTCCGAGTCATTTTACAAATGAGGAAACTGAGGCAAACAGGCTGAAGTGACTTGCCCAGGGTCACACAGCTAGTAAGTGTCACAAGACAGATTTGAACTCACACAAATGAGTCTTCATGACTCCAGGCCTGGCACTCTATCCGCTTTGGGTCATCAAATCCAGCCTCCTCATTTTGCAGATGAGAAAACCAGTGCCCAGGGAGGCAGACAGGTGACTTACAATAAAAGTCAAAGGCAGAATTCGAATCAAGCTCCTCTGACCCACAGCACTATGTATGCTGCCTCCTGATTACCTGACCCTCAATCAAAATGTCAAGACACCTTCAGAGACCTTTGTCACAAACCACTCTATGAACCCTGGAATTTCCTGAACTCAGTTTCTGGGACAGCACCTACTTATTAAATTTCAAATTTCTTCCAAATGAAAGTGGGTACTTCCATTATGAGTCTGAGTTTGACACGGGTGTGTTACTCTCCCCAGTTTGCAAGTGAAAATACTGAGGCACAGGGGATATTAAAACACTTGTTGTAGTTTGCATGGTGAGTCAGGCCTAGAGCCCAGGCCTACAGACTCCCAGGCTAGAGGGTGCTTTCCACTTGCAAACACCCTGTCTTTCTGTGGTGCTGAGAGTCAATCTACATTTTGAAAAAATTAAGTCAAGGTTTAAGGGCCACAGACATTTTCTTGTACAGGGTGGAATCAGTAAAGAGAGCGGCTTCCGGAGTTTTCTGGTGCCCGGAGTTTTCAAGGCAGCCCAATTCATTTCTGGATGGCTCTGACTGCTGGGCCCAAATTTTCTGATTTATGACTATTCATGACTCTCAGTTCTGCCCTGGGGAGCCAAGAGAAATGAATGAATGAATGAATGAATGAAAGAAGTAGTTAAGTGCCTACTATGTGCCAGGTGCCATGCTAGGAGTCCTAAAGATAAAAAATCTAAAGTTAGGCAGTCTGTGCCCTCAAGAAGCTTACATTCTAATAGGGGAAAGCACACATACAGGGGAGTGATGGTCAGTGAAGAGAGCTTTGGCCTGGGTTATCACAGAGATGGCGGCTGGAGCCAAAGGCCAGGCAATCGCCACCTTTCCAGAAGCAAAGGTAGCTTTGGTTTGATTACTGTGCCCAGGGCAAGAGATGGAAAAGCACATGTGTGAAGAGGAGACATA